AGCAAACCTTACTGGATCTAAGCAAATTGATTAACAGCAACTCCATAATGACTGGAGATTTCAACACCCACTGACTTCACAGGACAGATCCTCCCAAGAGAAAATTAATAAAGAAATAATGGACTTAAAATTCTAGAACAATTGAGTCTGACTGACATTTACAGGACATTCTACCCCAAATCCACTGAATATATGTTCTTCTCATCCACTCATGGGACATTCTCTAAGATTGACCATATCCTAGGACACAAAGTCTTAAAAATTTTTTAAAAATAGAAGTCATACCATGTATCTTCTCATATCACAGTGGAATAAACATAGACATCAACCCTAACAGAAATTTACATTTCTACACAAAAATGTGGAAATTAAACAATCTTCTACTAAATGATTACTTCATAAATGAAGAAATCAAGACAGAAATAAACAATTTTGAACTTAATGACAGTGGAGAGACAAGTTATCAAATCCTCTGGGAAACAGCAAAAGCAGTACTGAGAGGAAAGTTTATTTCCATAAATGCCTATAACCAAAAGTCAAAAAGATCACAAATAGACAATCTAATGAATTGACCCAAAGAGCTGGAAAAAGAAGAACAGCCCAACCCCAAACCCAGCAGAAGAAGTGAAATTAATAAGATCAAATCAGAACTAAACAAAATTGACAAGAGGGAAGCTTTACAGAATATTAATAAAACAAATAGTTGGTTCTTTGAAAAAATAAAATTGACACGCTTTTGGCTAGAATAACGAAAGGAGAAAAGAGAAATCTCTAGTAAACTCCATGAGAAACAAAAATAGAGATATTCCAACTGATCCCAAGGAGATACAAGATATAATTTACAAATACTACAAAAACCTTTATGCACAAAAACTGGAAAATGAGGAGGAAATAGACAAATTTCTAGAAACACACAGCCTCCCTAGGCTCAACTAGGAAGAAATAGAATTCCTGAACAGACCAATATCAAGAGCCGAAATAGAAACAGCAATTAAAAATCTTCCCCAAAAGAAAAGTCCCAGCCCAGATGGTTTCACACCTGAATTTTACCACACTTAGAAAGAAGAACTGGTGCCTATCTTGCAGAAATTATTCCACAACATCAAGAAGAATGGAAACCTCCCCAACACCTTTTATGAAGTGAACTTAACCCTGATACCAAAACCAGAGAGTAATGCAACAAAAAAAGAAAACTACAGACCAATATCCCTTATGAACATAGATCCAAAAATTTTCAACAAAATGTTAGCTAACCAAATCCAGATGCTTATCAAGAAAATAATCCATCACACCCAAGTGGGCTTCAACCCAGGGAATGAAGGGATGCAGGGATGGTTTAACATCCATAAATCTATAAATGTAATTCACTACTTAATCAGAAGCAAAAACAAAGACCATATGATTCTTTGATAGATGCAGAAAAATCTTTTGACAAAATTCAACACCCTTTCATAATAAGAACACTTAATAAAATAGGCATAGAAGGGACATACATAAAAATGATACAAGCCATATATGACAGACCCATAGCCAACATCATACTGAATGTGGAAAAACTGAAAGCATTCCCACTTAGAACTGGAACCAGAAAAGGCTGCCCACTATCTCCACTTCTGTTCATCATAGTGCTGGAAGTCCTGGCTATAGCAATCAGACATGAAAGTGGAATCAAAGGTATCCAAATAGGGGCAGAAGAGATCAAACTTTTATTGTTTTCTGATGATATGATATTTAGAAATTCCCAAGGATTCAACCAAGAGACTCCTGGAATTGATAAATGAATTTTGTAAAGTCTCAGGACACAAAATCAATACATAGAAATCAGAGTCATTCATATACGCCAACAACAATCAAATTGAGAACCAAATCAAAGACTCAATACCCTTCACAATAGCAACAAAGAAAATAAAGTACCTAGGAATATACTTAACCAAGGAGGTAAAAGATGTCTACAGGGAGAACTATGAAACACTGAGGAAGGAAATAGAAGAGAATGCAAACAGATGGAAACCCATACCATGCTCATGGGTCGGCAGACTCAACATTGTTAAAATGTCTATACTACCCAAGCTGATTTACAGATTCAATGCAATACCTGTTAAAATCCCAACATCATTCTTCACAGATATAGAAATAATTTTATGCTTCGTTTGGAACCAGAGAAGACCCCACATATCAAAAGCAATTCTAGGAAATAAAAGCAAAATGGGAAATATTAATATTCCAGATATCAAACTGTACTACAAAGCTGTAGTAATTAAATCAATTTGGTATTGGCACAAAAGTAGGAATATTGACCAGTGGAATAGATCTGAGAAGCCTGATATAAAACTATCCTCATATAGCCATCTAATCTTTGACAAAGCAGACAAAAACATACACTGGGGAAAATAATTCCTATTCAATAAATGGTGCTGGGAAAACTGGATAGCCACTTGTAGAAGGCTAAAGCAGGATCCACACCTTTCACCTCTCACAAAAATCAACTCATGCTGGATAACAGACTTAAACCTAAGGTATGAAACTATTAGAATTCTAGAGGAAAATGTTGGAAACACTCTCCTAGACATCAGCCTTGGCAAAGAGTTTATGAAGAAGTCCCCAAAGGCAATCACAGCAGCAATAAAAATAAATAAATGGGACATGATCAAACTAAAAATCTTCTGCATAGCCAAAGAAACAGTCTTGAAAGCAAACAAGACAGCCTATATAGAATGGGAGAAAATGTTGGCATCCTATACATCTGATAAGGAGTTGATAACTAGAATCTACTTAGAACTCACAAAAAGCAACAAGAAAAAATCAAAGAACTCTACCAAAAAGTGGGCAAATGACATGAACAGAAACTTTTCTAAAGAAGACAAAAGAATGGCTAACAAACTTATGAAAAAATTTTCAACATCTCTAATCATCATGGAAATGCAAATCAAAACCACTATGAGATATCACTTATTTTCAGTAAGAATGGCCTTTATCAAAAAGTCCTAAAACAATAGATGTTGGCATGGATGCATAGAAATAAGAACACTTGTACACTGCTTGTGGGACTGCAAACTAGTTCAACCTCTATGGAAAGCAATATGGAGATACCTTAAAGCTATACAACTAGGTCTACCATTTGATCTAGCAATCCCATTACTGGGCATCTACCCAAAAGATCAAATGACACTCTACAAAAAAGACACCTACATTCAAATGTTTATAGCAGCACAATTCACAATTGCAAAGCTGTGGAAACAACCCAAGTGCCCATCAATTCATGAGTGGATTAATAAAATATGGTATATGTATACCATGGAATACTATTCAGCTCTAAGAAACAACAGTGATATAGCACATCTTGTATTTTCCTGGATAGAGCTGGAACCCATACTACTAAGTTAAGTATCCCAAGAATGGAAAAACAAGCACCATATATACTCACCAGCTAACTGGTATTAACTAAGCAGCACCTAAGTGGACACATAGGAACTACATTAATTGGGTATTGGGCAGGTGGCGGGGGGGGGGGGGGGGGGAGAGGTGGATGGGCGGGAGGGCGGATGGGTGGAGAGGTGGATGGGTGGAGAGGGGGGACCGGGCGATATATACATACATAATGAGTGAGATGTGCATTGTCTGGGAGATGGTCACATTTGAAGCTCTGATTTGTGGGGTTAGGGGGGCAAGGGCATTATTTGAAACCTTAAAATTTGTACCCCCATAATATGCTGAAATTTTTTAAAAAAAAAGATTTAAAAAAGAGAGAATGGAGAGAGATTAGGTGGGCATTAAATAAACAAAATAAATCAACATAAGAATCATTAATTATCATAACAATTAATGGGAGTAGATATTATTATCTGCTTTTATAGACCAGGCAGTCCTTCTTAGACAAGTTCACTTTGGAGCAGGTAACTGAAGATAATGTACTAGGCAGAATCCTAAAATGACCTCTTAATTTTTTCTGGTACATGTACATTGTGGATGGTTCTCTGACTTTGGGTTGAGGCAGAACTAGGGAATATATGATGGAATATCATTCCTGTGATTAGGTTATATAGTAAATTCAAAGGAATTCTGAGAATATAATTAAGACCCATAATCAGTCAACTTTGATTTAATCAAAAGGGTGGGGCTGAACTGATCAAGTGAGCACATAAAACACAGGAGGTTTCAGGAAGATTCTTTTGCTTATTTGGAAGAAGGAAGCTATCATATTTTGGAGGGGCATGAGACCAGGACCTGGGGAGACTTTCTAAGAGCCAAGAGCAATACCTGGCAGATATAGCAAGAAAATGCAACCTCAGATGTCCAACTGCAAAAAAACTGAATCCTTCCAATAACCAGTGAGCTCTGAAGGAGACTCCACCCTCAGATGTTACTATAGCCCCAACCAAGACCTTGATTTCAGCATAGTGAGACCCTGAGCAGAGAACCCACCTGTGCCTGACTGAACTTCTGACCTGCAGAAACTGAGACTTAAATTGATATTGTTTTAAACTTCTAAGTCTTGGTAATTTTTTACAGAGAAATTAAAAAAAACAATATAGCAATGAAGGAAAAAATAGGTAAATACCTAGGTTGCTGATTTTGATTCCTTCAGTTTAGATGACCTGAAAATATGATAAAATGTCTTCTCATTGAAGAAATGTCATTGATTTTGTTATATACCTGGCTTTTTATGAATTCCCAGTCAGAATCTAGAATAGTATAGTTTCCTTGTATTACCTCTCTATTGTTTTCATATGCAGAATCCTCTCCTAATTTACACTTCTATAACTCTCTACTCTGCCATATTTCTTCTGTGATGGAAATGAATGAAAATGAAGTAAAAGGAGGAATAACCATGAGCATCAGCCTTCACGATGCATTTTTCTTTTTCATTACAACATTGCTAGGAAAATCTTTGAATTAGATAATAATGGAGAAAGCAAAGAAAACATATATATATTAAGAAATGGAAAAGATAAAAAAAGAAAACATTTGTTTTAATCCAAATATATTTCTAACTTTGACAGGTTCCAGAAGTGCTCCATATTCCTGCTATGAAGAAATACATTCTCATGGAGACAGCTTTGGGAACTGCGGCTACCGTGGATCGGGATATGTATTCTGTTTGTGGAAGTATGCTATACAAATATAAATGATACTTTTTCTTCATATATATATACATATACACACACATATCTTTTTTGTCTCTCCTTAATATATGTCATTCATTCCAATGGTTTAAAGTACATGTGCATGGGAGTGAATCTTAAATTAAAACCTCTAGCTTAGCCATCTTTCTTGAGCTACAGTATAAAACTTCATCTTATTTTTTAATCTTTACCTATGAATGATCCTTGGGTTACTAAATACAAATCAAAATTGAAAATCATAGTGCCCATTGCACCATTTTTCTCCATATCTGTTCATTATTCGTTATAAAAATAGTATCCCCATCCACTTTGATACTTATTCAAAATGAAGACTTCCCAGTGTCTATAAAATGAAATTCATTTTTTACTACATCTGAAGAGCTAGCTTTTGATTAGTTTATTTTAAAATAACATTTATTAGGAACATACTATGTGCCAGACACTGGGCTAAATTCTAGTTAGCAAAGCATATTCATGCACTTATAGAATTTGTAGACTCATAAACATAGCATGTAGTTTTATGCTTCCTCGATTTGCTTATACTGTTACTTTTGTTTCAAAATGCCTCACTATTACTGTTGAAAGCTACTAATTGATTGTTGAAAGCTACTAATTAGTACTGTTGAAAGCTACTAATTGATTAGTAGCTACTAATTGATGCCACCTTGATTCAGGTGGCATCTTCTCTATGAAGTCTTCCCTAACTATTATAGTGTTTCCACATCTTAAATTCCCATGAGGATTTGTTAATTTCACTTGTATCATTTTAATGGCATTTGAATCATATTTGTATTGTAAGCCATAGAGTATTAGATTGTAAGATACAAAAGAATAGCGCTTACAACTTTTTCATCTTTCCGTCTACAAGGGGATATAAAATATTAGAGTGAGCTGATTATTTAACAGTAAATATATAATCTGCACAGTAATAAAAGACCACTAATATCATTAAAAGATAAGATTGGATCAATGGATTTATACTCTTTTACTTTTTACTTTAAATGTTACTTTTAAAGCATTCCATTTTCCTTAGATATACTAGCATAAATGAAGAAGCAACCAACCTACTGCCTGCCTTCCTTTCTTTTCTTTCTCCTCTCCTCCTCTCCCCTCCCCTCCCTCCTCTCCCTCCTCTCTCTTTCTTTCTTCTTTCTTTCTTTCTTTCCCTCCCTCCCTCCCTCCCTCCCTCCCTTCCTTCCTTCCTTTCTTCCTTCCTTCCTTCCTTCCTTTCTTCCTTCTCTCTCTCTTTCTTTCTTTTTCTTCCTTCCTTTTCTCTTCTCTTCTCTTTTCTTGTCCTTTCTTTCTTTCTTTCTTTCTTTCTTTCTTCCTTTCTTCCTTTCTTCCTTTCTTCCTTTCTTCCTTTCTTCCTTCTTTGTTTTTCCTCCCTCCCTCCCTCCCTCCCTCCTCCCTCTCCTCCTCCTCCTTCTTCCTTCTTCCTTCTTCCTTCTTCCTTCCTTCCTTCCTTCCTTCCTTCCTCCCTCCCTACCCTCCGCTCGCCTCCGTCCCTCCCTCCCTTCTCTCTCACTCTCTCTCTCTCTCTCTCTCTCTCTCTCCCTCCCTCCCTCTCTCTGTCTCTGCCTCTGTCTGTCTCTCTCTTTCTTTCTTTCTTCTCTTCCTTTCTCTCTTTCCCTCTTTCTATTTTTGGTCAAAGAAAGCAAACTCAAAGCTTTCCTAATAAATGCCTAATGTATAATTATCACATAATTTTATTATGTTCACAGTGGTCTTATCTGTGGGCGATTAGTTTGTACCTACCCTGCTCGAACTCCTTTCTATCCAAAAATGGGTAATGTGATTTATGCTTTCGTACGAGATACTGTATGCGTATCTATAGACCACCCGGAGCATCTACAAGCTCCAGATCCCTTGATGTCGAAAGATGGCACTGTTTGTGATACTGAAAAGGTAAATAAAATCTATTTTTTAAATCTAGTTTTATTCATTGCTTCAATAAATCTTTCCATTTAAATATCAAACTTTAATTCATTCTAGTATTATGTAACCTTAAATGCTTGGAGAGATTAATAAGCTTAAATTGATCTCCAAATATTAAGAGAGAAATGGGAATGTTTTATCCCCTTCAGAATTTCAGTGTTATGAGTAGGAGGCCCCAAGTGTTTGGGGGTTGGAGTGAGAAGAGAAGAGATCTTGAGAATATATTGTGGTCAGATACTCCACAGCATGGAAACTTGCTTTTATTCTCAGAAGAGGAAGGATGAAATACCACTTAGGAATATACGTCTTGTTGCGTCCCTGTCAATAAGAGCACAGCTTAGATCAGGCTGTTAAGAATCAAATCTTCACCTCTTATTGTTTGACATTTTTCAGGTTTCCTAGCCAATCTGAGATACATCAGCAATGTATAAAGTTGGGTAATAATAGCATTTTCTCTGTAGGGTATTGTGAAGATGAAATGAGGTAACAGTTTAAGAGCTTAGCACAGGCCCAGCACATAGTAAGAGCTAAATACAGTTTAACTGTTATGATTGATTATTATCATTATAATTTGTCTTTGAAACCAACCAACATCTAGAGAATAAATAGAGGAAATAAATGTACTTCAGAATTTTATTTATTTCCTGACCATATCTTAGCTCATGAGGAAATACAAAATAATTTAAAGTGAAGTCTTTAAAGAGAGGTACACATAGATTTGATTTCTGACTCTGACAGTTACTTAATAGATTATCTTGAACAAATTATTTGATACACTTAAGCTTTAGTATCTTTAGATGTGAAATGTATACATTAGTAGCCACTATTAGTGGTTTTGTGGTTTAAATGAAGTTTCTTGTAGGTAAAGTATGTAGACCCATTAATATCGATTTCCTTTTTTTTTTATTCCCCTCCCCTTGATTTACTTTTTATGCTCAGGAATCATATGCCCTATTGAAGGAGGTTATCTAGAACTCAGTAGATATATTTAGGCCATGGGGCCAAAGCAACTGAAGTGCAACAAAAGCAAAAGATGGTTTGAGAGTATTCAGTACATAATTTAGTAAGAGTAGAATCTTTTTTTATAATATGGACAATTCTTCTCAGAGATAACGTGTGAAAACAAATTTTGTCAGGTAGTTTTTAATGATACAATAAATCATACAGGATGAAACATTCTTAGTATGGTTTCTGTAAGTAAGTATCCTTATGTGGTAGGACTCTATCTCAATTTCAACTAAGCCAGGCACGCAAGAGATACTACATTCCAACAGGAGTTGTTAGGCACACCTTCATGGCCTAGGACCAGTGAGAAGACTCAACACATTAAAAGTTTAAAGTTGTTTGGATTTAGAAGAACTTTTGTGAGACCAGTTTCTTTGGAGAGAGTTGTGCTGTGCTTTAATGTTGAAAAGGTATTAATCTTCACATACATTATCTCATTTTAAGCTAGAAACAAACTCAAATGCTATTTACTTATTCTAAAATAATTTTTTTAAGAAAAAGTATTATTGGACTCTTGCAATAAAACTGTATTTAGGGAAGTTGAGATTGCTATAAATAATGGAGTTTGGAATATATCCTTAGTCCTTGATTATTATACTTGAAAGTTAAAAAATTTATATATAAAGTTTTTATATAATACATTCAATAATAGAATGATACACATCTCTAGTATATTTTAATAAAAATTTCTATTGCATTTATTTATTAAATACGATGGTACTCTAATAAAGGCTCATATTTTATGAAAACTGAATATATGCCATGATTATATTTAATTAATTTTTTTCTATGTAAAATTTTGATATGTACAATTAATACATGGTATTATTTTAACTATTTGCTCAGGAATAGTTTTGTTATATTTCATGTTATTGTAATGAAATCGTTATAATTATTTTTTATAGCCAATCTTATTGCATTGACATTCCCTACTTCTCTGCCTGAATCATTTTTTTTAAAATGTTTAAATAATAGACTTTATATTTTAGTACCATTTTAGGTTCACAGAAAAATTGAGTGGAATACACAAAGTTCTAATATCTTCCTCATCCCTACCCACCCCATGCAACCTCTCTTTATGCACAACCCACACCAATATGGTATATTTGTTAGAATTTATGAACTTACATTGACACATCACTGACACTCAAAGGTCATAGTTTATATTAGGGTTACCTGGAAAATTCCCAAATTCTTATAAATTAAATAACACATTTCTAAACAACACATGGGTCAAGGAAAAATTCTCAAGAGAATTTTTTAAATGTTCAAATTAAATGTAAATGAAAATATAATTTATCTAATTTCTGGAATGCAGCAAAAGTAGTACTGAGAATGAAAGTTATAGCATTAAATGGTTATGATTTTATGTTATATAATTACTAATTGTGATGTTATGAATGCTGGACCTCTTTGGCTTGGAAACATTTTTGTATGTGTTTTTTTTTAGATTTGTATAAACAAAATGTGTAGAGAATCAAGGTTTATTAAGAGTGTGTCAGCAACTTGTTCAAAAAAGTGCTCTGGACATGGAGTAAGTAAGCACATGTTTCCCTGAATCATATCTATTTGGGACACTTTTTAGCATCATTCATTAATTTATAACATTTACTGAGTTGCTACTATGTGCCCTGTTGCATCTAGTTTCACTTTAGAGCTGAATTAAGTTGCTAAAGTCAGCTGCCATAATTAGTTTTAGAAAACATTTTGAGTGGAATTAAATTCCTGATCATCTAAAAAAAATTATTATAGTCTGATGCTTTTCAGAAGGTGTTAAATTTTCCAATAAATACATTAACCTGTTCACGAAGAGAAGATAATTATGCCACAACTCTTGTGCCTGTATTATTACATAGGGTCAGGGAAAACTGCTGATTTTCTCTCTATTTTAAAAAATAGGCTTTATTTTTTAGAGCAGCTTTAGGTTCACGGAACCTTACAGTGGAAAGTACAGAGATTTCCCATACACCCCCTCATCCCACATCCATATAACCTTCCTCAATTTTAACATCACACACCAGAGTGGTACATTTGTTATAAGTGATGACCTACATAGAGATTATCGCCAAAGTCCATAGTTAACATTAGGGTTCACTATTAGTGTTGTACATTCTTTGGGTCCTTACAAATGTAAAATGACACATATCTGTCATTATAATACCAAACACATTATTTTCACTGCCCTAAAAATCTTGTGCTCCATCAATTCATCTTTCCTTCTCCCCTGACCCTCTAGCAACCACTGATCATTCTACTGTCTCCATGGATTTTCCTCTTTCAGAATGTCATGTTATTGGAATCATACAGTATGTAGTATTTTCAGATTGACTTGTTTCACTTACTGGTATGCATTTAAGCTTCTTCCATCCCCTACCAGAGAGGTATATTTGTTACTGTGGATAAACCTACATGGACACATCATTATCATCCAAAGTCCATAGTTTACCTTAGGATTCACTCTTGCTGTTGTACATTCTATGGGTTTTGACAAATATATAAGGACATGTATCCACCATTATAATATCATACAGAATATTTTCACTGTTTTAAAAAGCCTCTATATTCTGCCTTTTCATCCTGTCCTTTTCACACCAAATCCCTGACAACCAGTGATCATTTTACTATCTCCGTAGTGTTTCCTTTTCCAGGTTGGCATATTATTGGAATCATACAGTATATAGCCTTTTCAGATTGGTTTCTTTCACTTAGTAATATACATTTAAAGTTTCTCCATATGTTTTCATTTCTTTATAGCTCATTTCTATTTAGTGTTAAATAATATTCCTTTGTCTGTATGTATAGTTTTTTATCCATTCACCTACTGAAGAACATCTTGGTTGCTTCCAAGTTTGGTACCATGAATAAAGCTGAAATAAACATCCTCCACATCCAAACCAAGAGTTGATGTCAATGTTTTGGATTTTAGCCATTCTAATGGGTGTGTGGTGGTATCTCATTGTTGTTTTAGTTTGCATTTTCATGATGAAATATGATGTGGAGCATCTGTTCATATATGTATATACCATCTATATATATTTTTTGATGAGGGGTCTTTTAAGATATTCTGCCCATTTTTAAATGAGGATGTTTGTTTTCTTTTTGTTGAGTTTTAAGTGTCATTTGTGTATTTTGAGTCACAGTCCTATATCAGATGTGTCTGTTGCAAATATTTTCTCCAAGTCTGTGGCTTATCTTTTCATTGTCTTGAGAGTGTTTTTCATACAAGAGAAAATTTTAATTTATTGAAGTCTAGCATCTCAATTCTTTCTTTCATGGACTGTGCCTCTGGTATTATATCTAAAAAGTCTGTGCCATACCCGAGGTCATCTAGGTTTTTTCCTAAATTATCTTCTAGGAGTTTTAGTTTTGCATTTTATATTTATATCTATGATCCATTTTGTGTTAACTTTTTGAAGGTTGTAAGGTCTGTGTCTAGGTTATTTTTTTCTGTATGGATGTCTACTTGTTACAGCACCACTTTTGGAAAGGCTTTCTGTTCTCTACCATATTGCTTTTGTTTCATCAAAGACCAACAGACTAGATTTACATATGTCTATTTTTGGGCCCTCTATCCTGTTTCATTTCATTTTAGATTATTCTTTCTTCAATAACATACTGCCTTGAATACAATAGATTTATGATATGTTAAGATGGGTAGTATTAGTCTTCTAACTTCTCCTTTCAATATTGAGTTAGCTATTCTGGGCCTTTTGCTTCTACAGATAAACTGTAGATTCAATTTGTTGATTTCCACAAAACAAATTGCAGGGATTATGAGTGGAATTGCATTCAGTCTATAGATGAAGTTAAGAAGAATTTATATCTTGACAACAATGAGTTTACCTATCCATTAACATGTTATACTTCCTCATTCATTTAGTTCTTTTTTTATTAATTTTTTCATCAGTGTTTTGTAATTTTTCTCATGTAGATATTGTGCATATTTTATTAGATTTATAGCTAAGTACTTCATTTTGGGGGATGCTAATATAAATGATGGTATGTTTTAAATTTAAAATGGCATTTGTTCATTGCTCTTCCAGTAGGAAAATGATTGGCTCTTGTACATTTAACCATATATATTGTAATCTTTCTGTAATCACTTTTTAGTTCCAAGAGTTTCTTTTCTCTTCAATTCTTTTTGGATTTTCCACATAGCTTATTACATATGCAAACAATGACAGTTTTATTTTTCCTCCCATTTGGTGTATTTTTATTTCCTTTTCTTGTCTTACTGTACTAGCTAGAACTTCCAGTTTGATGTTGAAGTAGGAGTGGTGAGAGGGGACATCCTTACATTGTTTATAATCTCAGTGGGAAAGTGTCTAATTTCTCACCATTAAGTATTATGTCAGCTACAAGTCTTTTGTTAGATATTCTTTATCTACTTGAAAAATATTTCCTCTATTTCCAATTTGCTGATAGTTTGTTTTAAAAAAAATGATAAATACAAATGGGATTTTATTGGTTGAATGCTTTTTCTGTATTTATTGATATCATAAATGTGACTGTTTTCTTCATTAGACTATGTGTAAAGAATTACATCAACTGATTTTATAATGTTTTTTTTTCTGGGTTTCTTTTCTTTCTTTTTTATTTCAGCATATTACAGGGGTACAAATGTTTAGGTTACATATATTGCCATTGCCCCACCCAAGTCAGTGCTTCAAGCATGCCCATCCCCAAGACGGTGCACACTGGACCCATTGGATGTGTATATACCCATCCCCGCCTCCCCCCTTCCATCAGCCAGATACCTGATGAATGTTATTACTATATGTGCTCATAAGTGTTGATAGTGAAAACCAACTTGATGGCAAGTACATATGGTGCTTGTTTTTTCATTCTTGGGATACTTCTCTTAGTAGAATGGGCTCCAGCTCTATCCAGGAAAATACAAGACATGCTATATCACCATTGTTTCTCAGAGCTGAATAGTACTCTATGGTATACGTATACTACATTTTATTAATCCACTCATGCATTGATGGACACTTGGGTGGTTTCCACATCTTTGCAATTGTGAATTGTGCTGCTATAAACATTCAAGTACAGGTGTCTTTTTTATAGAATGTCTATTGTTCTTTTTGGTAGATGCCCAGTAATGGATCTGGATCAAATGGTAGTTCTACTTGTAGCTCTTTGAGGTATCTCCATGTTGCTTTTCACAGATGTTGTACTAGTTTGCAGTTCCACCAGCAGTGTATGAGTGTTCCTATCTCTCCACATCCACACCAACATTTATTGTTTGGGGACTTTTTGATAAAAGCCATTCTCAGTGGAGATAAGTGATACCTCATTATTGTTTTGATTTGCATTCCCCTGATGATTAGAGATGTTGACCATTTTTTCATGTATTTGTTAGCCATTAGTGTATCTTCTTTTGAAAAGTTTCTGTTCATGTCTTTTGCCCACATTTGATAAGGTTGTTTTTTCTTGCTCATTTTCCTGAGAGCTATATAGATTCTAGTTATCAGTTTTTTATTGGATTTGTAACATGCAAATAATTTCTGCTATTCTGTAGGTTGTCTGTTTGTTCACATGATAGTTTTCTTGGCTGTGCAGAAGCTTTTTAATTTGATCAGGTCCCATTTATTTATTTTTGTGGTTGCTGTGATTGCCTTTGGGGTCTTCCTCATAAAATCTTTGCCTAGGCCAATGTCTATGAGAGTTTTTCCAACATTTTTTCTAGAATTCTTATAGTTTCACGCCTTAGGTTTAAGTCAGTTATCCAGCGTCGTTGATTTTTGTGAGAGGTGAAAGGTGCAGATCCTGTTTCAGTCTTCTACATGTGGCTATCCAGTTTTCCCAGCACCGTTTATTGAATAAGGATTCTTTTCCCCATTGTATGTTTTTGTCTGCTTCATCAAAGATTATATGGCTATATGAAGATGGTTTTATAACTGGATTCTCAGTTCTGTTCCACTGGTCTATGTCTCTGTTGTAGTGCCTATACAATGCTGTTTTAGTTACTATAGCCTTATAGCATTGTTTGAATTCTGGTAAATGGATGCCTCCCAATTTGTTCTTTTTGCTTAAGATTGCTTTTGCTATCTGGGGTCGTCTTTGGTTCTGTATGAAGTGTAGAATTATTTTTTCTAGATCTGTAAAAAGTGATGTTGGTATTTTAATAGGGATCGCATGAATCTGTTGATCATTTTGTGTAGTATAGACATTTTAACAATGTTGATTCTGCTGACCCATAAGCATGGTATGTTTTTCCACCTGTTTGTATGTTCTGCTATTACCTTCCTCAGTTCCTTATCTTCTTCAGTGTTTCATAGTTCTCCCTATAGAGGCTTTTACCTCCTTAGTTAAATACATTCCTAGATACTTCATTTTCTTTTTGCTATTGTGAAGGAGATTGAGTTCTTGATTTGTTTCTCAGTTTGACTGTTTTTCGTGTATAGGAGGACTGCTACTTATTTCTGTACATCGATTTTGTAATCTAAGACTTTACTGAATTTGTTTATCAATTCCAGTAGTCTCATGGAAGAATCTTTGGGGTTTTCTAGATATAAGATCATATCATCAGAAAAGAGAGATATTTTGACCTCTTCTGCCCCCATTTGGATGCCCTTGCTTTCCTTCTCTTATCTGATTGCTTTGGCTAGGACTTCCAGTACTATGTTGAATAGAAGTGGTGATAAAGGGCAACCTTGTCTGGTTCCAGTTCTAAGTAGGAATGCTTTCAATTTTCCCCCATTCAGTATGATGTTGGCTGTGGGTTTGTCATATATGGCTTGTATTATTTTTAGATAAGACTTGTCTATGCCTATTTTGTTAAGCGTTCTTATCATAAATGGGTGTTTAATGCTTTTTCTGCCTCTATCATGTTGAACCATTGTTGCATATGTGGGATAAATCTCACTTGGTTGTGGTGCATAATTCCTTTTTTATGTTGTTGAATTTGATTTCCTAACATTTTTGTGGGTGGTTGCATCTATGTTCATGAGAGATATAGTCTGTAGTATCTATTTCTTATAATATCTTTCTCTGACTTTGGTATTAGAGTAATGCTGGCTTGATAGAATGAATTAGGAAACATTCTTCTACTGTGTTCTGAAATAAATTGTAGAAAGTTGGTATAATTTCTGCCTTAAATGCTTGGTAGAGTTCAGTAGTAAAACCATCTGAAAAAACTATTATCTTTTAGATCAATTAAAAGTATAAAAAAAACCCAGTTTTTAGTTTGACTTAATTCTTTCTCTAAGGTTTTTCTTTTCTTTATATAAATCAGATTTTTCTGACCTGTATAATTCTCCTTTTCTCTGAAAAACTTCTTTTAACATGTCTTCGAAAGGCAGGTCTATTGGTTGATAAATGCTCTAAATTTTTGTTTGTCTGAGGATGTCTTTATTTCTTTCTCATTATTGAAAGATAATTTCACAAGATTCCATACTCTAGATTGGTGATTTGTGTGTGTGTGTTGGGGGGGGGGGTGTCAACATAGAAAAAAATACCATACCATTAGTTCCTGGTGTCATCCCATATCTGTATATCTGATGCCCTCTTGTAATACAAAATCTTTTGCTTAAAAATCAAACTGTAAATTAAAAATAAAACCCTAAGCTTCCCCAAATGACTGAACAGACACACTCTCGTCCAATGGGACCCCAGAGAAATCTTAAAACTGATATCCTTGCCATGACAGGACAGGAAGTGAGGCACACCTCGTTATACCCCCTCTATATTGCTGTTAGAAACAACAACTGACCAGCATAAATGTTAAAATAGAGATCATAAAACTGACAGGGCAGACTCTTTGTGACAATAAGATGTCAAATTATAAACAAGACCTAAGGCCATGCCAGGCAATGGTTAAGTCACATCTGCAGACCATCAGTTATGTCGAACTTGTCACTTTGACCCAGTATATTGTGGCTTGCTCCCATAATTTGGCTCTGACATAGCATCACATAATGATTACCAGATTTCCTTATCTTAACTGAGATATTCCTTTCTGCTAGCTTCAAGTTTTTAGACAAAGCCTTCTTTCACCAATTGCAAATTGAAGAATCTCTGTATCCATCTATGTTCTGTAAGCCCCTGCTTCAAGATATCCCTCCTTTTCAAATCAGTGTGTAACCTCCAGGTATTGATTCATGGCTTTGCCTGTAACTTCTGCTTCCCTGAAATGTATAAAGCAGGGTTACATTCTAACAGCCGTACGGTCACTTACTAAAATCTTTTGGGTCTGTGTTTCCATCAGGCCATGGCCACTCACATTGGCGGAGATAAACCTCTTTGAAATGTTTTACTGTTTGGGTTTTCCATCGACAAAACAAAAGCAAACGAAACAAAACCCATCCTGGTAAAGGCATTATTAAGCTGGTAAATGTTTAGCGGCTTGCCTGGGGAGGGTAAAAGCCTCATTAGTAGGGCACATACTTCAAGTTACCAACATGAAGTCACTGAAGGGGGAGGTGGAAAGAGACGAACACGATCAGCTCTGGGAGCTGGTACTAGATGGCTCCAGAACACTGGTGTAAGGGTCACATTTTCATTAGAATTTAAGTATGCATTTTTGAAATTGTACATTATATTTGCAGGTAAACATTTGAAGGTGTTAAATTTTCTTGATGCAAATATCATGAGCCTCACTTTATAGCTCCTTTTGTTCGTGCTGTTTTGAGGGTATATTTTAATCTAAGAAACCAAGCATTTTATACTTGGGGTTATCTCTCTAAATAAACAAAATTATACCAGAATACTATACAAAAGTAAGCTTGATGATCCATCTCATAATTTTGCTTTCTCTGAGAAGGTATTTTAAAATAATCATTTATTTTTTTTAAATGACCTTAGGTGTGCAATTCCCGGGAGGAATGCAATTGTACTGATGGCTACTTGCCTCCAAATTGTGAATTACGTACCAGGGAATCCACTATAGTTCCTGAGGGAACAGGCAAGTATCTATCTCTTTAGAAATTCATTGAATAAGATTCACTAATTGTTTATCTTCACTAAAAAGCTTAGATTTTTGCCACTTAAAAAAAGAGTAATATATGTAATGAAGAGGTAAAAAGAGTTCTCTCAAATAATAGAAACTAAATACGCTTTCTTAATTTTGCTCTCTTTCTAATATTAAAATATCATGATTGAAACAGAATATTTAATTTCTATTTACTAATACCATTGACATTTTCTTTTAGAATAGTTTTCAACCTCTATTTGTGATTGACCCTGTGATTTCAGCTGAAAACAAATAACATTTACTCTATGTCTAGTACTGTTACCAATTTTCTGTTTTGGAATAAATGAAATAGAAGATAAAATTTTACTCTGAAAGAGTTTGTAGATTAAATGAGAAAAATCTATAAATTGCTGCTTAAGACATGACAGAAGGGATGCTGGCACAATGTTCTGTTTGTTCATCATGACTTTAGTTTCTGTCATTCATTCATTCATTGAGTTAGCAAATATTTATTGAACTCAAAATATGCCAGTTGCTGGTGTAGTCTCTAACATGCAGTGAGCAAAAAAAAAAGTTCTCCTTATGGATTTTTAGAGAATATGTTTAGGTCTGTATGCCCAGGGCTAACAAGTGGTAGAATTAGGATTAGGAATCAAGTCTCCTGATTTTTATGCCAGTGTCCTTTTAGTAGCACTGCATTGATAAACATAGATCCTTAATGTCAAAAGCCTACAATCTACTAAAGAAAAATAGGATATACACAAATACGTTGAAGTCCTTTGATAATACACCTTGTGACAGTGCAAATTTGGATAACTTCGCAATTACGAAATCCCACAGTATGTATCATTGAATTTTTACCCCCACTTACAGTGTTATAGAGTTTCTATAGTTGCTATAAAATGTAGAATACTTTTGGTCCCAAGGATTATGTCTTCATAATTATTTTCTATGTTCCCTAAATAGTAATAAAAATTAAAAACATTTTAATTAATTTGTTACAACTTGAAAATTAAAGTAGAAAGTTTAATTTTTGATCTTTAACATATTTTTATTTTTAGGTTTAATCATGGGAAGAGCTTCAAGAAATACTAAAAAAACCTGGCTTCTAGGTGTCTACATTTTTCTTCCTGTTTTCATTGTAACAACCATGGTAGCTTTGGCATGGAATCTTTTGAAAAGGTGGTTCACCAAGGAAGAGGAATCCCTAAGTAGCGAGTAAATTGAATTTGTGTTCTGAAGTTAAACTTTAGTATCATTTGAATCTAGTCACATGTAAGCTATATCATGAGCAGCAACAATACTCTATATTTTACCAGGATTTTGAGTATTACATCAATATGTCATTTAATTTTTTGAGATGGTTGTGAATATCCCATTTTAAAGATGCAAAGATTTGGAGATGTACTTTAAATAATCTTTCAAAGTCATTGCACTGCTAATTTGAGAGAGAGAGGACCCAAATATATCCCTATTTATTGCTTTCAAATACCCTAGAGGTTATCAAAGGATGATCTCTGTTACCTACAAAAGAGGTACTAGAAATATTCATTAAAATGCAGTTTTCTGTGCCCTACCACAGATGAAATATTTCAATTCACATTGCTGCCTCATTTATGAAATAATTAAAAAAATATTCTTTTGGTAAAGTTTTCAGAAGGAAAATTTATAATTTAGCCTACAACATTTTTATTTTTAAAGAAATAATTCAAACACTAAGAAAGAGAGCAAGCTAACAAACATCTACCTTTGCCCATCACTAAAAATAATGTTCATAGTTTTCTTATTTCTTTTATGAAATTATCCATTACATTTGCATCTGCAATTCCTCTAGCATAATACCCCTTCTTCCATACAGAGAATGTCTATGTTGAAAGTTTGGTGTGTCTTATATATTTTCACTTCATGTGGCAGCACACATGAGACATATCTAGTATTGGCTTTTATATAATTTTAAATATCTATATTCTCTGTAGATGAATTTACTTTTCTAATTGTAGTTTATGTAGTTTTTCCTTTTTATTATTCTTTTTTATGAAAAGTCTTCTCAGATGTGTTTCTATTTTTTTAGTAATTTGAAAAATATAATTTTTGGTTTTGTTGAGATCTCTATATTTACTTTGTTTTTTATATCAAGTTTTACTTTTTTTCCTTTCTGCTCTCTTTACCTGTATTCTAATTCTAGCTTTCTTGAATCTAATGATTTATTAATTTTCAGTATTTCTTATTTTCTAACAAATACCTTTAAAGTCAAAACCTTTCCTTTATATGTAATTTTCTCTGTATTCTTCAGTTTTTAATAGAATTGACATTCAGTTAAAAAATTAGAAAATCCCAGTATAATTGCTTGTTTAAATCATGAATAAATTGTGGTCTTTAGTTTTCAATTATATGATTTATTTTCATTGTTTTAAAAATAATCTTCCAACTTGTTAACTTATTGCGAGAAACTGTATGATGTAGACTGTTAAATGTTAGAACCAGAAAAGAAATAAATTCTTATAAAAGTATATAGTTGATATGTATACTTCACTATTTTTAACACAAACTTTTTAATTGTGTTATTTCAAATCATCTTTATACTCTCCATTTTTTCTTCTTGTCTGGTAATTTATTTTCTGTGAGAGGCAAACCAAAGTTTTCAATGTATTGTGGATTTCCTTCTGATTGTTGAAATTTCTGCTTTATATATGCAAAAACTACGTAATGTTCATTTTAGTTATACTTTCTTGGTGTGTTTTCTTTGAATCATTAATAAGTATATCTTAAATACAATTTATGAGTTTCAGATTGTTATACCAACTTTCTCTTCAAAAATGACATTTATATGGTACATCATTTTCATCCCCTTTTACTCAGTCTATCTTTGCATTTAATTGGTGTCTTATAAACAGCCTTTATGTGGAATGCAGTAGTAGTGTTTGCTATGCTTATGTTTTATATGTTATGACATATATATATTTAGACTGAAATTTGCCATCTTATTTTTTTTCTATTTACCATGATTTTGGGGGGGGGGGTATTTCTTTTTCTTTTCATAAAATCCATTTTACTAATTGTGTTATTCTCTCTTTTTTTTCTCTTCAACTATTTGGACATTTTTATATTCTGTTTTATTGTTTTGGTGATTTTCTTTAAATTTTAGTATTTATAGTTAATGTTATATAATGTCTAGATTTAATCATTACATATAGTCTTTCTCTAAATAACACAAGGATCTTAGGCATCTAGCTATAACCTTCCTTTTTCAGTCTGTTTGCCATTTGGCTTTTAAGTTACCCCCTTACATGTATTCATATGCATGTGTGTTGTGAGGTGTGTGTGCGTGTGCGTGTGTGTGTGTGTGTGTGTGTAGTATCACCATTCCTTTTGGAAACCTACTTTTTTTCCTTTTATTTTATCATATTATGGCCGGGCGCGGTGGCTCACGCCTGTAATCCTAGCTCTTGGGAGGCCGAGGCGGGCGGATTGCTCAAGGTCAGGAGTTCAAAACCAGCCTGAGCAAGAGCAAGACCCCGTCTCTACTATAAATAGAAAGAAATTAATTGGCCAACTGATATATATGTATAAAATTAGCCGGGCGTGGTGGCGCATGCCTGTAGTCCCAGCTACTCGGGAGGCTGAGGCAGAAGGATCGCTTGAGCCCAGGAGTTTGAGGTTGCTGTGAGCTAGGCTGACGCCACGGCACTCACTCTAGCCTGGACAACAAAGCGAGACTCTGTCTCAAAAAAAAAAAAAAACCCAATCATCATATTTTATCATATTATGGAGGTAGAAATATTGTTAGGGTTACATATATTGCCCCTGCCACCCCTTCCCCCCAGCTGTTTCAGAACATCAAGCATGTCCAACCCCTAGGTGGTGCACACTGCACCCATCATGTAAGTACACATCCTTCCCTTCCTCCCCGCTCCCACCGGCCCACCACCCGATAAAATTTTCATTCTAGGTTCAGTTATCTTTTTCCCCTAGCTTCATTGAGGTATGATTGACAAAAACTGTGTATATTTAAGGTACATTGCATGATGAGCTGATGTATGTATACATTGTGACATGGTAACCACAATCAAGATAATTAACACATCCATCACTTCAAATGGTAACCTCTTGTAAAAGAGATAATACTGTTTATAAAATAGCCTGACTTTTATACATGTAGTTGGCAAGCTTTCTTACTACTTACTTGAGATGTTATTTTAATTTTTTTTAGATCCAGATCAGAAAGCAGCACTGACACATATGCCAGCAGGTAAGTGGGTTAGGGATGTTTCTAAGATACATGTTGAAAAAGAAAAATTAATTGATAATTCACAATTTATTTCTAAATATTCTTTGAACAACATCTATTGGTCAAACAATGCCCTGAAAACCAGACTACTAACATATAGTAAATTAGTTTCTAACAAATTAGTCCTTTCTTCATTTAATAAATGTTTATTGGATGTCTACTACTAAAGAAACAATGAATAAAAGCTGAGTCTAATGGGAGATATAATATGTATAATTAGTAAAGAAAAAGATTATATAGAAGTTACCCAACTTGGGTTACACAGTCATGCGCTGCAAAACATTTCAGTCAGTGACGGACCATATATATGAGGCTGGTCCCATAAAATCGTAACAGAGCTGGAAAATTCATATCACCCAGTGATGTAGCCATCAGAATATCATAGAGCAGTGCATCACTTAGTGTTTGCAGTGATGCTAGTGTAAACAAAACTATTGTGTTGCCATTCATATAAAATCATATCTCATACAATTCTGTGTAGTACATAATCCATGAAAATGATAATAACTATATTTCTGGTGTATGTGTTCACTATGCTTTACTTTCTATCATTATTTTAGAGTGTACTCCTATTTATTAAGAAAGGCTAACTCAAATAGTCTCAGCCAGGTCCTTCAGGAGGTATTCTAGAAGAAGATATTGTTCTTGAATGTCTCCCAACATAGTCCCTCTTTTGGAGACATTAGTTACTTTCTCTAAGTATGAGGGGGAAAAAAAGCTAATTTTCTTTGTTGTCCCCACCTTGTCACTGTCACCAAGGGAGTTGAGATGGAGTGCTCAAACACTGCAGTTCTCCCAACCCTTTGCCCGCCTAGAAGCATTACCCTCCCTTTGTACTCTGAAATCACTTGAAGGTAATGAACATGTTTATTTTGCTGACCTATTTATAGTCAGCACCTAGCAGAGTAAATATTCAATAAATACTCATTTAATGAATGAGTGATTACTCTTGAACTTCACATATGCACAGCTAATTAGTATTGTAACGACTCCAGTTGTCCCCTCACATTGTCTCTCCTCAAAGAATATGCCACTCACATAAGCATCCTCTTCTAGAAGTGGTGTTCAGCTAGATTGAAGGATAGACAGGGCATCACCCAGAGGACAATGTACATTGCATTTGAAGACTATAATTTTCAGTGTTAAGCCCTAAGTCTAGCCTTGTGTTTGGCATACACAAGAAAGGCATTCTTTGATTTTCCTTTAATTTACATTTAATAGGCTAAGCAGACATACTTTATGTGCCTTACTATTATAATACTTAGTGTATTTTCTTGTATTTATGTTCTTTTTACATTTATATTGTTACAATTTTTTGTTGGAAAGCCAGTAGAAGATATTTATAGAGCCAACTCCTTGGATAAACACAAAAAGACAAGAGTCGTTTTAAAAGCCAGAAATCTAATGGTATCAGGCTCACAGTCGATATATACAATTCCTTTTATTGGTTTGGGGGAACTAATTATATTAAATACCAATTTTTCATGGCCAGAGTAGCAGGAAAAATCAACTATAAGTTTTTAAGGTATAAAATAACAGAGGTAGGAAAAGGATGGGAGGGGTAAAATTATGTCACTATTATCACTGAATCTCTCACTAATCTTACTAACAGTAGTGCCTTATCTGTGAATTAATCTTGATTACTTTGTCTTCAATTCATTATTTTCCTTCTCCCTTTCTTTTATTTGGGGGTTAAGAAATCTGTGGATATAAAGAATGAAAAAGAGGCCCAAGAATTTTCTTTTGGAATTTTGGTGATAATTAGTATAAAAATAGAAATTTGGCAAATATTTTTTAGCACAACTTTGAAAGGAAACAGGCAAAAATTGCAACAAAACTAAATATAACATAACTTTAAAACATTGTATTATATCAACCTAATAAGGTTATTTCCTTATATATTTAGATCCAAATCACGTGAAGACACCGAAACACCTAGCAATAGGTAAGTACATTAGGAGGTGTCTCTTACAATAAATATATTTATTAAATCAAAATAAAATTCATAATCCACAATTAATTCCTAATCATTGATTGGATAGATGAATTGGTAAAGTACTACACCAATAAATAACCTACCAATCTTTACTAAACCTTGTTAATAATGAGTATTTGAACAACTTAGTCTGGTTTTCTCTTCTGTTTAGTAAAGTTCTAAATTTGTTGAGAATACATTCTCATTGATAGAATGGAATGAAAGGGTTGCACCTATAAAAATATAAGACCTATATATCAGTTTTAAGGCAAATTCATAATCAGGGCCATTTTATCCATTAGGCATTGTAGCACAATGCTTCAAAGCCATGAGTTTTCAAGAACTCCCCAAATTATTTACAATGTGAAAAACCAAAAATAATTTGCTCAAGGAAAAAAGTAAAATTAATATGGATTTTAATTCCTAAAAAAAAGATATTGTTATATTCATAAATATCTCATTAAATGTGAAACAATGTTAAATTTTGTCATTTGCAAGTGCTTCTGATTAAACATTTTGGTTCCTCAGAAATCACAGAGAATCATGAAGTATATAAGTTACTCATGACCAAATAATTTCTTAAGCAAACTTTACCATTCTTTCAATAATTCCTTTTTCTGCCAAATGAATTTTACACATGGCAGTACCCCAACGATCTGTATGCATTGCAGTGGGAGAGAATTTGCTACCAGACCTTGAGCGTGTGTGCTTTTGTTTTCTTCCACAGTAACTAGTAATACCCTCAGAAGGCAATGGGCACTGAGAAATGAAAGTTCTGCTTTTGCTCCTGTGGTCACAGCTGAAGGAAACAATAAACCAAGTGAAGACCAGTTTATGTGCCTGCGTGTCTGTTTTTATCTCTCCCGCCTCTCCCTCAGAATGCAGCCCCTAGGGCTGCGGTTCTGCCACTTCAAGGCCCTTAACAGAAAGCATCCAAACTCAGGAATCTCCATCCCCACCTGACTCCCTGAGGTCTTCCCACTCTTGCTCCCGCCCCTTCCCCCACGACACCCCCTTTTGGTTGACTGCTTGGGGCCCCAGATGCATCAGGTCCTTGCTCAGCCTCATTCAGGACCAGCTGTGGCCAGTGGGCCATGTTCCTCCTCCTGCTCCTGCTCAACAGGCTTGGCTGGCTGCATGCAGTTTAGCAGATTCAGGTGTTTGCCCTCCTCCTCTTCCTCAAGACCACAGCCAGGGCTTCTGAGGGGACACTGTGTTTACTTCAGGGATTATGCCTTCCCATCCAGGCCTCTCCCTCCATCCCTCACTTTTCCCTTGGCCCTTGGCTGGTGGCCCACAGAGTCAAGCGCAGAAGACAGAGAGGCAGCTTCTGAAGGACCCAGAGAGCTTGAGTTCTGGTCTTAGGAGCAAAGATTAGCCCTTTTTCAGAGTTTGATATGAGGATTGATAAAATGAATTAGAAAAAGATTCTCTCATTTTCCTTTTCTGACAGTGTGTGTAAAATTGTTCAGATCTTCAATTAACTGTTTAGCAGAATTTACCAATGAAGCACTCTGGGACTAGAGATTTCTTGGAGGGAAGATTTTAAATTACAGATTTAATTTTGTTAACAAATAGAGGACTGTTCAAATTTTCCATTTATTCTTGTGATAGTATTAGGTTCATCTGAATGTGCCCTGATCACCAGGTTCCCAGTGTCAAGAGTGAGTACTGGTACTAAGTCGAGCCAGCAATAAAGGGATCACAAAGACAGAGCGATTTCATACAGTTTATCACATAAAAGAAAGCATGAAAGAAAAGAAGGAAGCTACACAAAGTGAAAATACATTCCAGAGAGAATGGACCAGGTCAGTCTCCAGAGTAGAGAAAGACTGTGAAGCCTGAACATATGCTGTCTTTTATAAGCTCACTAGTTTGTCCCAACATTTCTCCTAGTGAGATTGGTTGTTATTTCCCTCTTTGGGGTGATTGACAGGTTAGGGTTACATAACAGATTACATAACAGGTTACACAAGAGGTTGGTTATGTAAAAAATTTCCCTTTCTGCACATGTGTCTTCTCCAGAATCCTTCACAAAAAGTCCATCCATGTTATGCTAATTAGATGGTAATGAGCCCACATCAGTTAAAGGTCACTAGGAGCTCCTAACTGTGTGCATTTTCCCCCAGGGAACAGTTCCTAGCTGCAATTTGGTTCCTAGCTGCAATTTGGTTCCCACACTCCACCCTTGCCACTTCCTTGACTGCCTTGCCACACATTTGCCCTCCTCCAGACCTAATAATAGTGTTGTTCAAATATTGTATTTTTAAAATTTTTTTATCAATTTCATATAAATGGTCAGGCTTATGGCATAAAGTTTTTCAGAGTATCTTTTTTTTTCATGTCTATAAGCACTATAGTTATGTCACCTCTTTCATTCCTAGTAATAGTAATTATTTTTTTTTCTCTGATTAGTTTTATGAAGAATTTATTTAATGAATTTACCAATCTCTCCAGTCCAACTGTTGGCTGTTGTTTTTCTCTATTGCATTTCTGTTTTCTGTTTCATTAATTACACCTTTTATTAATTTGCTCTTTTCCTAGCTTCTTGAGATGAAAATTTAAATCATTTTTAAATCTTTTCTAATGCATTTAAAAGGTATAAATTTTCCATATGTACTTCTTTAGCTGCATTCTACAAGTTTTAATATGTTGAGTTTTCATTATAAATACATGATATTTTACATGATGTATTTTTCCTGTAAATACATGATAGCTGATTTCAAGTGACAGATGCCTCATTATTGAATGCAGAGTTGGAAAGATGTGAGCAGTAGCAGACCATTATATAATATTTTCACCAAAAATATATAATAGACATAAATAACATCATGAGCATAGCTAAAATCAATGTGTAGGAAAATAAGTGATGAGGTCTTACTCATCACTTCTTTGCTTAGCCTGATGTTTTAAAGGAGTTTTTCCTATATTTTCTTTTGGAATTTTTATTGTTTTGTGCCTTATATTTAAGTCTTTTCTCAATCTTGAATTAATTTTTGTATATAGTAAGAGAGTGGGGTCCTATTCATTCTTCTCCATGTGGCTATCCAATTTTCCCAGCACCATTTATTGAAGAGGGCTTCCTTTCCTCAGTGTATGTTGCTGTCTGCTTAGTCGAAGATCAGACCAACTGGTCGTAAGTATATCATTTTTTATCTGTGTTATCTATTCTGTTCCTTTGGTCTATGTCTCTACTTTTATACCAGTGCCATGCTGTTTTGGTTTTGATAGCCTTGTAGTCTAATTTGAAGTCTGGTAATGTGCCTCCAGATTTCTTTCTTTTTTGTTTTACTTAAGTTTGCTTTGGCTATTCAGGCTCTTTTTCAGTTCCAAAATGAAGCAGAAAAAACAAAAATAAATAAATGGGACTTGACTAAATTATAAAAGTTTCTTCACAGCAAAGGAAATAATCAACAGAGCAAACAGACAACCTACAGAATGGGAAAAAAATATTTTCAAACTATACATCCAATAAAGGGCTAATATCCAGAATCTACAAAGAACTCAAAGCAGCAAGAAATAAGCAATCAGCACCATTTAAAATGTTGGCAAAGGCATGAACAGAAGTTTTTGAAAAGAAGACAGACAAATGGCCAACAAAAATATGAAGAAATGTTCAACATCAACATCATTAATCATCACGGAAATGCAAATCAAAACCACAGTGAGATATAACCTTGCCAGAATGGCCATTACTAAAAAGGCAAAAAACAATTGAAGATGGCATGAATGCAGAGAGAAAAGAACACTTAACCATTGTTGGTGGGACTGCAAATTAGTACAACCTCTATGGAATATAGTATAGAGATTCCTCAAGGAAATAAATGTATACTTACTATTTGATCTAGCAATCCTCCTACTAGGTATCTACCCAAAGGAAAATAAGTCATTTTATCAAAAAGACATATGCACTTGAATGTTTATCGCAGCACAATTCACAATTGCAAAGATGTCACATAAACCTAAGTGCCCATCAATTCATGAGTGGATGAAGAAATAGGTGGTATATATAGCCACAGAGTTCTACTCAGCCATAAAAAGGAGTGAAATACTATCTTTTATAGCAACTTGGATGAAACTAGAGACTTTTATCCTAAGCAAAGTATCTCATGACTGGAAAAGCAAACACCACATATATTCTTTAATAATTGGGAGCTAAACAATGGGTACCCGTGGGCACCAAGAGTTGTAAAGGTCACTGGAAATCAAAAAGGAAAGCAGAGGGAGGAAGGAAAGGGTAAAAATCTGCCTGTTGGGTACAATGAACACTATGTGGGTGATGGGCACACTGAAAGCCTTGACTTGAGCATTATACAAGGTTATATATGTAACATAAACATTTGCACCCCCTTAATATTTTGAAATAAAAAGTAGGTTTTTTAATATTATAATTTAATTTATTATAATTTAAAGTAATTCAATTTTTAATAATGGTTTTATTATCAAGTAACTCACAAAATTACTGAAAATTTAACAATTAGCTCTTATAAGCCAGAATAGGCTGGGTCCAGCACACCAGAACATATAATAATTCTAAATGCAAGACCAGCCAAACATAGATTCAAAATATTTTAAGGCAAAATATCTCTAAGATATGAAATAGACAAATTCACAATCATACTAGGAGATTTTAACATATCACTGGCCAGTAAACTATTGAAAAAGCAAATAAAGTGAAAATAAAATGAGTCAATACATGCAAAAAAAATCTAGTAGGAGTTAAGGGAGGGATATTTGGCAACCTAGAGTGTGCATTGTCAAATGACAAACCAATTATATTACTGTTAACTGGAAGAAAGTGCTCATTGAAGGCAAGCTTTAGAGAGCAATAGACATGAGAAATAGAATTCAAGAGTGTAGGATGTGTTGTATATGTCAATAATACTTCAATAAATTGTTTTTAAAAAAAGAAAAAGCAAATAAAAAAGCATTGAACATATAAAATATTTGAATAACAATTTAAATATGACCTCATTAAAATATGTAGAACATTTTCCTATGAGCTACTGAAAACACATTATTTTTTACCAAAAAATCTACAAATATTATCCAGCTAGTCTTGAAAAATTCCAAAGAATTAAATTTATGTAAAACTAGATTAGGTGTAAATTGTTACTACCTTGAAGATATTTTGACCATAAATATATTAAATATCTCAGTATTTTTCCCAATCACTTCCACCTGGTCCTGAGTCCTTGGCCAAATCAAACCTAGCCCTAGAGATTATGAGATAAGTGGGCTAAAATGTATTATATTTTTTAAGTAGCTATATATTTTAACTATACAAATAATACATGAATATATGTTAATTATAAAAAAATCAATTCTGAATGAAAGCAAAATTCCCCTATTCGGACCATCACTCACATCTCTGAGGTTCCCACCATTATCAGTTTTGTGTATATCTTTCCAGACTTTTTATTCTATATTTACAGATATATGTGTCTATAGAAATATGAGTTATAATTATATGGTGAGGTTTTGGACCTAAATGATACAATATGCTATGTACTTTTCTGCAACTTGCTTTTATTACTCAATAATGTGTCTCAACTGTGTTTTGTATCTGTACATAAAGGCTTATTTTTTCCAGGAAGAAAAAAAATTAATATATGCAAGAATGTGTTTACCTAGTACATTGCAATTAAGTCATAAATACTATTAAGATAGCTAGAATATACTCAATATGTACAACAAAAAAAATGTGCACTTCCTAAATTACCCATGGCTAAATAAATTTATAATGAAAATTAGACATATCAAGATTCATCAGTCTAGCTATCACCATACTTTGATGAAAATTTTTAGACTTAAA